TTATAATTGCTGTTAACATCGTAAGTGGTCATAGGCGTTAGTACCCTTTCCCTTTCTTTTTTTCTTTTTCTTTTTGAAATTCACCTTGAGGATATTTGTTTTCCATTAATTTTCAGAGTGAAAGAGAAGGAGGAGGGAGGGAGAGAGAAAGAAACATCAATGTGAGAGAGACACATCGATTGGTTGCCGCCCGCACGCTCCCCAATTGAACTTGCAGAACTTGCAACCGAGGCAGGTGCCCTTGACAGGGAATCAGCTGGAGACCCTTCCGTCCACTAAGCAAAACGTGCCAGGGCTCCTTTTTATTTTTTTACTGTCAGGTCCTTGTAAACAAATCTTTTATTTCCCTGTCTGACAAAACAGGAAATAATTGTCTTGGTGCTAATGACAAGAGCAAACACTTCCACTAGCACATTTCTAAGCCCTCTAGGTTTATCACCTCAAAGTTCACAGTTCTGCTCTGCACTGGGCCACCCCCGGTCCTCTCCACTCCCTGGGGCGGGGGTTGGAAGGCTGACTGATAAGTTCTGTTCTCCCCTCCCTCCACCACCCACCCGCAGAGTTTCCGGAGCATGTGGAGCTGGCACCCCTGCCCCCATGGAATCCTGTGGGCAAAAACCTCACCTTGCGCTGCAGGGTGGCAGGCGGGGCACCCCGGGCCAAACTCTCCGTGTTGCTGCTCCGCGGGGAGGAGGTGCTGAGCCAGCAGCTGGCGGTTGAAGAAGTCACCACCACGGTGCTAGCCAGCAGAAATGATCATGGTGCCAATTTCTCTTGCCGCTGGGAACTGGACCTGCGGTCCCAAGGGCTGGGTCTGTTCCAGAACAGCTCAGTCCCCAGGCAGCTCCGAACCTTCGGTGAGGGAAGGGACTGCACAGTGTGGGTGATGAGCTGAGCCAGAGCAGGGGTGCCCTGGCCCTGAGGTTCCTGAGAATGGGGTGGCCTGGACCTCAAGGGTTTCTGGGAAGGCTTTCCCTTGGCCATTGGACGGGCGGCCTCAAAAATTCCCATGGTGGCAGGAATTTTTGAGAAGTATGTGCAGATAGATGTGTCCTAGGAAGGGGGTGATCCAGGTTAGAGGGTATCCTGGGAAAGAAGAACCCTGGTTGGGGGGTATGAGTGTTCACAGGGAAAGGGGTGTCCACGGCTGTGTGAGACCTCCAGCTTACTCCCACTCTTCTCCCCAGTCCTGCCAGTGACGCCTCCGCATCTCTTCGTTCCCCGGCTCTTGGAGGTGGGAACATCCCAGGCCGTGACCTGCACCCTGGACGGGCTGTTTCCGGCCTCAGAGGCCCAGGTCCAACTGGCGCTGGGGGACCAGATGCTGAATGCCACAGTAAAGCGCTACGGTGACATGCTGACGGCCACGGCCACAGCCACAGCCACCGCGGAGCTGGAGGGGGCTCAGGAGATTGTCTGCAATGTGACCCTGGGAGGCGAGAGCCAGGAGACTCAGGAGAATTTGACCATCTATAGTAAGAGGGGCCGGGGCCAAACCTGCTGCAGAGGTGAGGGCAAGGGGGTTGAGCTTCATTAGCCCAAAGGGCAACGCACAGGAGAAGCCAAGCCAGAAAAGCAGGGCCTGAGCCGCCAATGTGGGAGGAGTTGCCGTGTGGGCGGGGCAGGGGCCTTCATTCCAGGACGGCCTGAGTGCCCCAACTTAGGTGGGGCCCCAGAGTAGCTAAAAGGCAAGGTCTGGTTACCCCGAGGGGAAAAACTTGGGTGGTCGGCTGGGCTTAGTGGATGTGAGGGAGTGGATAGCAGACGCCCAGGCAATGCTACTCCTTCAGGCTTCTGGGGGCCCGTCTTGAACCTGAGCCAGCCCACCGTCCGTCAGGGGACCATAGTGAATGTGACTTGCGCTGCTGGAGCCCGAGTCCAGGTCACGTTGGACGGAGGTCCTGCTGCAGGCCCGGGACAGCTCGCGCTGCTTCAGCTGAACGCCACTGAGAGGGACGACAGGCGCAGCTTCTTCTGCAGTGCGGCCCTCGAGGTGGATGGGGTGGTCTTGCACAAGAACAGGAGCGTCCAGCTGCGTGTACTGTGTGAGTAGGCCACTCTGACCTTGAATTCCTTGCTCTCCTGATTTGGAGAGACTTGATTCTCTCTTGCCCCATCGGGCCTTGGGTTTGTCTGATCATTTGGTGGTTCCACAGATGGTCCCAAGATTGACCCAGCCAAATGTCCTCAGCACTTGATGTGGAAAGAAAAAACGACCCAAATCCTTCAGTGCCAAGCCCAGGGCAACCCAGATCCCCAGCTGCAGTGTTTGCACGAAGGCTCCATGGCCCAGGTCCCCATCGGGATCCCATTCCGTGTCAGGTTAAACTACAGTGGTACCTACTACTGCCGGGCGGCCAGCTCACAGGGCGTACACAGTGTCACTGTGGTGATGAATGTTCAAGGTGAGCTGAGGGGGGCCTGCGGTTCTAAATGGGCAAGCCTAGGGCCAGGGGTACGAGTATTTACTCCTTGCTTCTCTGCACAGAGCGGAACCCCATCACCATTACCATCGTCATAGCAGTGTTGACCGTCCTGGGCTTTATGGCTGCCATCCCGGCCTCAATTTACGCCTTTGGGGTGCACAAGCGTAGAGACATCTACCATGTGAATCAGGGAAACGCTGGGTTTCCCCTCACGTCTAAAACGGCTGAGGAGCCTCTGGGGGAACCACCATCTTGAGCTCCAGCCAAACACTGGGGGGGTGTTTGGCTTTATGATCAGGTTCTGCAACAATAAAGTGCTCAAAATCCAGAGTCTGTGGCTTTTTAATATATAAATATATATTATATGGGCTGCCTCCTGCATGCCTCCTACTGGAGGTCGAGCCTGAAACCATGGCGTGTGCCCTGACCTCGAATCGAACTGTAACCTCCTGGTTCATAGGTCCATGCTCAACCACTGAACCACACCAGCCCCGCCGGAGTCTATGGCTGGATTCCACCTACGCTAAGGGGATCCCCCACAGCGCTGAGCGTCTATTGAGTGACATCTCAGTGGTGGCAAGGGGCGGAGGCTGTGCGCCGAGATGGGGCGTAAACTCTGGGAGGCGGGCTGCACCCTAGCCAATGGGCTGAGAGATTTGAAGAGAGGGGGCGGGGCTTCTTTAGGCCAATAGGCGGACGCGCCCTCGTTGCCGCTCTATGCCGCTCCGCCCTGGCTCGCTGGTCCCAGAAGGCGCCGGGTTTCCCAAGATGGCGGCTGACGTGTCCGTTACTCACCGGCCCCCGCTGAGTCCGGAGCCTGGGGCCGAGGTTGAAACTGACGATGCCCCAGAGCGCCGGGCGCCCGAAGAAGAACTGCAGCCGCTAGATCCAGAGGAGATCAGGAAACGCTTGGAACACACCGAGCGCCAGTTCCGTAACCGCCGCAAGATACTGATCCGGGGCCTCCCGGGGGACGTGACCAACCAGGTATGGGGGGGCGGTGTGGGAGCGTGGCGGGAAATACCACCGTGCGCGTGCGCGGGGGGAACCAGGCAACACCGACGCTGGCGTGCTCGGGTGTAGGGGGCGTCGGCGGGAGAGTCCGAACGCAGGATCCATGAGGGTTTGGGAGAGACCAAGGGCGGATTGTGGGGGGGGGGCGGTGGTGGAGGGAGAAACCAACTTTGGACTGAGGGAGGATGTTGTAAACGGCGACCGCGGGCTTGGAAGAGCACTAGTGACTGAAGTGGGCGGGCAGCCTTGGCCAAGTTGGGGGATTGTGAATGGGCAGCCAGACCGGGACTGTGGGAATAGAGACGCCAGGAGCTCCCTGCTCTGCTTGTGTTTATCCTCATTCCCCTCTGCCATGAGGTGGCGAGACCGCATAGTCAGAAGTTCAGGGTTGGCTTAGAGCACGGATTATTAACTCCTCTTAGAGATAGATTGGAAGTTGTAGCAGCTCCTGAGATCTTCCTTCTCCCAAAGCCCCAGAATTTATTTGGAAGAAGGGGTCTCCTGCCTCCAGCCCACAGACCTGAAAGAATGGAGGGGCCCGTGTTGTGTGGAGCCTCCCCCTTGGCCGGTCTGGCCAGGGGTGCTCTTCTCTTGGGGCCTGCAGGTGCAGGGCTTTCCAGTGCTCTTTGGACCCAAGGAGATTGCGTCTGGTCTGCCCTGCCCTGCGGTGGTGGAATGGGCTCTCTCTTCCTGTTCCTCAGGATTCCTCCTTTCTGGGCCACCGACACATCTGCCGCTGGCTCACCCTCCCTGTCGGCGGGCACGTGGCTGGAAGGGCCACCAAAGTGTGGGGAGGGTGTGACTCGGGGGACAGACCTGGGGCAAGCACCACTAGGCATGGTCTGGTGTATTCCTAGAGTCAGCCCTCCTCCTAGCACGTGCCATCTCTTAGCTGGGAACACACTGTCTCTCCTGCAGGGTGCACAGTGTATCTGGCACAAGCAGGCTGGTAGAGGCTCGCCCCCGCAGCTGGCTTACAAGAAGGCAACCGTGTCAGCAGGAGGGAACTGAGAGGCACGTGAGGCCACCCAGTGTGGGCTTCAAGTATGCGGGGTCTGCAGTCAGGTACCC